GTATCATATACTGTATTGGTATCATTAAGGCTGATAATTTCGCTTAACTAATCCTAACTCAGTATATATATATTGTATTGGTATCATTAATGTTTCTTGTTTAGAAATTACTCATTAGTCAATGATACTATAAGAGCAATATATATATATATATATATACACACACATTGTTGTGGTATCATTAAGGTTTCTTGTTAACAAATTACTCATTAGTCAATGATATTATAAGAGTATGTGTATATTGTTGTGGTATCATTAAGGTTCTTGTTCATTCAGAAATTACTTATTAGTCAATGATACTATAAGAGCAATATATATATATATACACACACACTGTTATTAGTTAAGGGTGGGGGGGGGGGTATATAGTGTAATTATTTAGTGGGGTATGAATGTCTATGGATATATGTTTGTAATTATTTTGCTTTTATGGGGTATTAGCTTAGTTTCCCCTTAATTCAAATCATATGATCTTTTTACTACTACTTCAAATTTGCAGCCATGGTAGTTTTAATAGGGAAATTACGCGGTTAATCAAATATATACTAGTTAATTAGCTAACATAGTTACAATTTGCATTAATTATAATTTGGAACTTACTTATAGCTATAATTACATTCTCTCTCGCCTCTCTCTGGAATCTCGCTAGCCACTCTCCTCTTTTTCAGTCATCTCTCCTTCACCTCTCTTTGCTCAGTCTCTCTCTCGCTTCTCTTCTGTCAATCTCTCTCTCACTTAATACAAACACAAGTGAGAGAGACGGGATATACAATACAAATACATATATCTCCGCCATATACACTTATAATTATACAAATATAAATTTTCTCTTGCCCAGTTCTCTTTTGCCTTTCTCTCTCTCTTTCTCTCAATACAATGTATAATTTGTGTTTGTATAAAATGAGAGAGAGATTGGATATAAAATACAAATGTTTTAACTCGATTCAATTGTATACAAATTCAAATTGTATGCAGATATACAAATACAATAATTGATACAAATATGTAGTAGTTACATATATACAATTATCTAACCGATATACATATACAATTCATCTCTCTCCACTCTCTGTCATCTCTCGCTCGCCTCTCTTCTCCCTCTCCCAATCTCGCTCGCCACTCTCCTCCCTATAACATGTAGTTACGAATCGTAATTAACAAACTATAACTATGGAGCATAATTAAGCTATTTTTAGTGGCTATATGCGAAAATTCTTAACTAGTTACTTATATATAAAAATAAATAAATTAAAATGTGATTATATTTTAAATACTATGTAAATATCGGAAATTACACTTAATGACCTAAAAAATGAATAATTCCAAACTTTTAACGACTTTAAAACCAAAAGTCTAACTTATTAAATTTATAAATTTTATCTATAGTACAAACAAGATCGAAGTTTAAAATCACCCATCTTCAAAGTTATTTTACCTAAATAGGCGATGGGGTGAAATTCCCCAAGTGTATGGTAGAGTTCAGAGTAGCCGCACTTGTAATACTTTGTTTGGATGATTGTTACACGTTGTATTATAGAATTAGTTTAAATACAATGTTTGTTTTGATTATTACTTATATTATATTATATCGCGTTTAAATCTATCGTTAGGTAACGACGAAAAGACACATTTTATGTAACGACCATTTTAGCGTGATCTCGTCATTACCTTAATATTTTTTTCTCATTTTATCTTTATTTATTATTTAATAATCATATTTTATCTTTTATCTTACATTTTCATAATAGTTCTACCACATACTCTACTTTTTTGATATGTTTATCACTCAAATTATAAATGTATCACATTATGTACGACGGATAATGATACAATCTATCTAAATATTATATTTAATAAAACAATACACTATAAATTAATATAACACACTACATTATAATACGATACATTATGAAACAATACGTAAGAATCATCCGAATAAAGTGTAATCTTATGTTCAAGAGGTTCAAAACAGAGCGGCGCCCTGGTTTTTAGTCTAAAGATAAAACTCTGATAATCTTTGCTCAAAATCACAAGCAGAAAAGCAGCTGAAAATTCATGGATCCATTTTGTAAAAATTGAGCTAACGTTAATGAAGAATGTGTTTCTCAGCAGCTTTGGCGCTTCCATTACTTCCAAATCTCGAGAAAAATTCAGCAAATTGTACCTCAGTATGTGCTATTTCCATTGTTATTTTGCTCTAATTTACTTTATTTTTGTTCCCTAATTGATGTGAACTTTTGCTAACAGAATTGTAGTGGAAAGGATGAAGATTCAAATAAGGGTCAATCGGTGAAGCTGTCATTACCAGCTTACAAATGGCGATTAGTTATTGCTTACGACGGTACCAGATTTTCAGGTTTCATTCTCTTTTCGTGTTACTTCAGATAGAAAATTAAGGGTTGAAATCTCTGAATTTTAGTGTTAATACTCTAATTAGGTTTTCACTTTTCACGCATTCATATTATTTTA